TGTGCATCCAACTACTTTCCCTCTGTGCTTTGTGCAGTAGAGTCTCCTTCAGAGTTTTAGGAACAGTGAGGAATACAGCGTGCATATAAACATTTCCTGCTCCGTTGAATTGTATACAGATAGCTGGCAAGGACTGAGTAGATTTTAGGCTTAATGTCTCATCTTGTCTCTTGAATGTCTAGTCTTGCCTCTTCAATCTATATGAAGCTTTCGTGATGTATAGCTGTTGCCATGTGACTAAAATCTGAATTCAAGTTATAATGTATGTGCCCATATTTATTCAAATTTTAAAGTTTTCTTATTTAAGAGTACATTATAGCAGTTTTGTTTTTTATTTCTTATGTTCTTTCGTTTGACCTTAACCTGTTAGTATCTTTCTAATTCATTTTGTCTAACTGTATTCATGTACATGTTAGTCAGGAGTTGAGCTCTTTCTAAGAATTGAAGTATGTTTCAGGACAGAATGACAGATGTTAAAAATCTGGTAATGATTCATAAATCGATTGCAATGTTCTTACTTATGTAATAGTTCTAGTCTCAACCAAACATTATTTACTTAAACCATGGCTGGTGTTCTCTATATATGTTGTTAAAACTTTAAAATACTGTCTATGTGATCTGAAAAAGCAAACAGAACTTAGCACCACATAGTGTAGATGAACCACCTTTTCTTATCCTGACAGCAGCAGAAGTGACCTTCAAATGCGCAGTGCTGAGAAAGAAATTGAACGAATAAAGGGAAGTTTGGGTATTCAAATACTTCATTATCAGTTATGAAGTATTACTACTCTGTGATGAATTTCGTCATCTTGGATTTTAAACAAACAAGACATAGATTTGGCTTACTGAAATAGAATTTCTTTTTTTGCAGGATTTTGCTAATATTATGAAAATGCTGAGAAGTTTAATCCAAGATGGTTATACAGCCTTGCTGGAGCAGCGTTGCCGCAGTGCTGCACAGACCTTCACAGAGTTGCTGAATGGGTTAGATCCTCAAAAGATAAAGGTGAAGTTGCCATTTCGTAACTTGTTTATCAGTGTTAATGCACCTCAGCCAAATGCAGGTGAGGAGCAAGCGTTGATTTCATTGTACTAATAGACCTGAAATTTGCTGAGATCTGCTGAATCTGTTCCAGATTGTGGGAAGCAGGTATGCGCCAATTCAACTTTATTGTTATAGACAACGGTATACAAACCCTGTTAATACCCTTTAACTGTAGTTGGGTTTATTGGAACTCTTGGCCCTTTCTCATTGCAGTACTAAATCAAGGATTTGTACTCATTTTAGTTATAGCTTTTCATTTGGAAAGAATTTTAGTGAGATAAGTAAATAGCTTAGGCAAAGCTGTAAAAAGGCAAACGTCTTAATCTGTCACTGTGTAAAAGAATATGACTTTAAACCAGGCATGATGTCATGCATCTATAATCTCAAATTGAGACAGGAAGATCATGAGTTCAAAACCAACCTGGGCAACATAACAAGACCCAGTATCTTAGGGAAAAAAAGAATATGACTTCATTTCAGAAGGTTCTAATGTATTATGAACCTTGTCTCAAGGAGCTCTGGGACAATGATTTTTATATTTTAAATATTTGAGAACAATATAATTAATGGTTTATCTTTGTAAAATATATTGGATCTTTGGGAAAATAATGATGCATTTTTGCATAGAAAAAAAACCAGAAAATTATGTTATAACTTCCCTGATGACCTATTATTTTCTAATTCTATTTAGCTTTTAACCTAATGGTACTGATACTGATTTGTGAGACTTTATTATACTTCTTTTCTATTGTGGCTAGAAGTTTGGTATGATAGAACTTTTTTCAGATTTTTAACTGGAACTTTTTTATTGACAGCAACTGAACCTGGCCATGATTAACTATGTCTTAGTAGTCTATGGACTTGCCATTTCTCTCCTGGGAATAGGACAGCCCGAGGTAAGGTTTTTAACAGAGGTAATAAACTATTAAAATAAAACATTGATTTTAGAAGATATGTATAAATTATCTTCCCTTTTTGGCTTATTTCCTTCTGTATATTTTGTTGATAATTTTGTCTGAAATTGCTAAGTTCACTTTAGTTTTTTTTTTTTATTTATTTATTTGTTTATTTATGTATTTATTTATTTAATTTTAGGTTGTTGCCTTAGGGTGTACGAGTTCACCAGAGGTAGACAGAGAGTGGGAAAGCAAAAAAATCACACCCTGTGGGATGGCTACACTGCAATTCATTCTCCTCTTGGAATTTTGGGCACACACATACTCACCCCTGGTGTGATTTCTATGCCACCAGCTCTGGGGTTTGAGTCACAGTTGGCCATGTTAGAGTCCAGTGCCTTAACCACTATGCCACCTGCTGGTCTCATGGTTTTATTTTTTAATGAAAATTTAGTTTATCTTTTTATAAGAAAAGACCATCTCAGGCAACCAGTGGGAATCTACTTTTTATTTATATGAAAAATAAAGAATCTGATATATCACAATATGTTTCACAAACATATCATTGAGGGGAAAAGTCAAGTTGGAAAGCATAAATTGTTTATGGATAGCTGTCTTCCTGTAGAAAAGTAAAGAAACATGGACTATCCGTACATCAAATTAAAAATAGTTGTGAGCTGTAGGTGGCATAGAGGTTAAGGCAGCCGGATCCCATATGGCCAATTGCACGGTTTGAGTCCTCAACCCAGTGGCTTGAGATACATGCCAGGCATATGTGCATGCATGCCCCAAATCCCAAGAGAATGGAGGAGGAGGGATTGTGGTGTGGCCAGCTGTCTGGGGGTTGATTTCTCATTTTCTCTTTTTCTCTCTCCCTTTGAACTAATTTGCCCTAGAGCACGCACACACATAAAAGTTAGTAGTTACGTATTTAGTGATGGAAAGAGGGAATGGGCAGGAGGACAGTTATAAAAGGAGACTTCAATTTTTTTAATTAGAAAAAAACAAAGTAAAAATGATGATATTAATATCTCTTAGATCTGCGTTGTGAGTCCTTGGGTATTTTATTACTTTTGAGATGCAGGCTTCCTGTAACTGCATAAAATCAGGCTGTAGGTAAGAGCTCCTGTGATTGCCGTCCTCCCTGGAATGGGTATGGTCCTGCACTGTTCAGCATTACAGTTTTGCTTCCAAGGTTCTGAGATGTCTATAAATGTCAAAATGCTTTAGAGTAACCTCAGGTGCATTATAACCTTTCTACCAACTTGGACTCCAAGCTTCCCTAGCTAAATAAAGTCTTAACCTTAAATTGCTGCCTAATTAGGATCTAAGTTGTCTTTTTCCTTCCATTCTATCCTGGTGGTCCCCAGTACCTGAGGTTCATTGTTCCTGCTCTTGGTGTGATAGATGAATGTCTTCCATTAAGGGCTGTCTAACTCTTTTCCAGTAGCTCATTGGTGAAAGGAGTTCATGGTTTTAATTTTTTCTAGCCTTGACACAAAAATATTAAATGGCATGTGTTGCCTTATTTCAATAGAAGAAATGGTTTATTGCATTTATGATTTACTGTAAAAAAGTGATACTGCTTTAAAAACCAAACCAAACTAAACAGGTGTGGTAGAGCTTACAACACCTGGGAGAATTTCAGGAAGCCATGTGTGTATTCTACCACGGCCCTTGCTTGAATATTATTGGAGCGCCTCCTTTGAAACTGGCCTCAGAGCTCTTTACAAGCTCTATTTTATAGTGATAGTTTTCTTTGCTGCCTATAACAGGGTTACCAATATTTCTTGGAGCTAAGTGTCCTTTGGAATTTTTCCAAAAACAAAATGCTTTCAAAACATAGAAGTTTCCCACTGTTTAGAATATTCAGAAGAATGTACTCTAAGCTCTTTTAGTTTTTATTCATGGGCTATTTTTTATGCCACAAAACATTGTGACAATATCACCACATGCCTGTCTTTTCAGTAGAGCAGCACTTACCGCAATGTATGCTTTGGTGTATTTGCACCCAAATCAGTCTTTTTTTACCATAAATTCACATGTGTTGATATTAGCCAGCATACACCATGCCCCTAGGATGCACTAGTATATGCTCAGATGGTTGATTGACCGACAGTTCTAGTTCCAACTTTTCATTCTCAAGCAGTATTGGTTTGATTGTGTCTCTGAGTATTCTATGTGATCGAAATTCACATGTATTCTGAGAAAATGAAGGTATAGTTTTGCCATAGAAATTTTTAGATGTAGTTATTTTTAATATGACTCATCCTTCATATAAAATCTGTTCTAGCCTTCACTGTATAAGTGCTCATTGTTCTCATTACTATTAAAGGAGTTATCTGAAGCTGAAAACCAGTTTAAGAGGATTATTGAACACTACCCCAATGAAGGACTTGATTGCTTGGCCTACTGTGGAATTGGAAAAGTATATTTGAAAAAAAACAGGTTAGTATAAATGATACTTCTTTAAGCTCCAGGCTGGTAAGTCATTCAAAGTCTAATGGATGATGATCCCATTCTAGAATTATTTTTAATCTTCTCTACTTACAACAAAGCTACTCTAATTTCAAGTTACTTTAAGGACCTGGCATTTCAATATCAGTACTTAATTGTTAAAGCAAGGCCAATCCAGTTTAGTTTCTAGTGCTTCCTAATTTTGCATCAAATGAGAAAGTAATAGAATAATGTGACATGGAAGATTTAATATTTTTCAGTGTGTGACATCTATAAATGGTAACTGCATTGATTTAAGTTCATGCTTTAAAAAATCTTATCATACAATTTTTGGGTTAAATACCTGTTTCTGAAAAAATGTAATGAAAACAGCTTAATTTTTAAAATGTTTACTCCTTTATTAGTAAAGTTCTTAAAATTAATTTTTATTGTGATTTCTGATTTATATATATTATTATATAACTTTGTGGAACACAGTACGGTTTTCAAAGCATGCATACAGTATGTAATAATCAAATCAAGGATACAGACATACACTTCTTATTTGATGTTGAACATTATGTTATGTTGTACATATTCAGTATTAGTCCTGATAGCTTTTGAGGGGAGGGGAGTATATTTTAAATTGTCATGACATTTCCTACTCTGCTGTGGTATATGGTTTTATAGCCTGTTCCACTTGTTTACATGTATTCTTGTGTCTGTTAATAATTTTCTCCCAACCTTTTTCATATCATAAAAACAATTTTAATAATAGGTGTGTGTGTGGGTATACACAAAGAGATTGTAAGTTAGGAATAAAAAAATCTCCTCTCTGAACTTCTATTATCATTTGAAATCTTTACTCAAAGTGTAATATGTAGCTACTTTATAGATATTTCATGTCTTTTAGTCCTGTCTCCTCAAATTGGCAGTATGACCTTTAGGGGACAGGATTATGTCTTAATAACAAAAAAACTCTGTCCCTGTCACTTGTACCTAATACAGTGGTAAATATGTTAGGTTGCTTTATAAAGAAACTGTTGACTGATTGAACATCAATCAAAACTTTTAAATCTTCATCTGACTTTTTAGGGGAAATTGTATGAGACTTTTGGGACACTAACCCTATAGTGTGTCTAGTCTGTACTTCATAGATTTTAAAAGATTAAGTAAAAGTTTTACTTCATAAGTTACTGTCTCAGTAGGCTGTCCTATATTAAGGAGAAGGTAGATGTAGGGGAAGAAGATGTAGCAGTCACCTTTGTAGTTACAACAAATGAAATTGATTTTAAAATTTCATGTGCGTTTAGGACATACCTGTTTTAATTCATTGGCCATATGCAGTTATTTACTAGGTCTAGGAAAGTAACAATGTCAAATCAGGAGGACACAGTAAACTAAACAGTCTTTGCCACCTGAAGAACATTTACATTTTGATTTCTAAATGGTATGAGATTAAAGATCTTACATGCTGGCTTTCTGGCATATTAATGTGCAGTTTCTGGTTAAAGGTCTTGTTTATAACTTATGGTGAGTAGTGCTCTAGCTTTTCTGCATGTGAATTTATGCATAGATGTAGGCAAAAATAAGTTCGTAAATTGGACAATCATTTCAAGATTGCAGAAAACTCTTCTTTAGTCTAATGAGAAGAATAAGGCCTGGTTAATTTTATAATCCAGTATTTTTTTTTTTTTTTGATTTAGTGAACCATGGAACTCTATTGACATTATTTTTTGAAACTGTGAATCAAAACAGAACTTAAAAATTTCAAACTTAATAAAGCAATTTAAATGCACATTCATTCTGTTAAAATAATTCACTGTTTTATAGTAAAGATGTTCAGAATATATGATCCTTTAAAAATTTTTTATCAGATTTTTACTACAGGTATCTTAATAGGGTCAAGTTAAAATGGAGCAACTAAATTCTTTTTCAGTTTTCTGTTGTAATTATTGAAACTTTTAAAAATAAATCGCAATTTTTAAAAGGATTAGTGTACGTCTCCCGTAATGAAGCTAGTGTTTAGGATGAATTTCTGTTCAGTTCATAATATTTTTATAGCAAACAGCAGCAATGCATTAGCTTTTTAAAAGATAATTTAGATTACATTGAATATTTCTGTTTAGTGATTTATCAAACAGACTCTTCTTAGTAAGTTTGGAATGCAGGCTACTTTTGTTGTGGTAAATGAAAATACCATGTCACATCTTTAATATCTTCTTTCTTCTAATTATGACTTTAGATTTCTGGAAGCGCTTAATCACTTTGAGAAAGCAAAAACCTTGATTTATCGCCTTCCTGGAGTGTTAACTTGGCCCACAACTAATGTGATTATCGAAGAATCTCAGCCAGGGAAAATAAAGGTTGTAATTTATTTCTGCAGTTTCTTACTATTAACGGCCAACTGTGTTGACTGGCTTAGGTTTCAGAAGACAATGAGATGATTACTTCATCCCTTCTTTCCCCACATGAATTTCCCTTTAAACGCTAATGAGAATCACTGCTATTTATTGATCTTTTTATTTTCTTAATTTATGACAGAGTATGTGTGTTCACTGGAGAAAGGCCAAGAGGGAAAATGAGAAAGTATCCCCCAGGGGGATGGCCACACCACATTCCCCTCTCCTCCCTTCTTCTCTTGGGATTTTGGGCATGCATGTGTACATGGCCAGTGCATATTTCAAGTTGCCAGGTTGAACTGTGCAGTTGGCCAATTGAGATCCAGGTGCTTTAACCACCACACTACTGGCTGGCCCTAATTTTTTGTCTATAAAAGGTTTACCTACAATTATGCCAATCACACACCTTCCATGTGTCATGGAATTTAGTCCTGCAGATTAGATACTATCATTATTCCCATTTTACCGATGAGGAAAACTAAGTATAGAGAGGTTAAGTGACGAGCTCAAGGTTAAACAGCAAGATGAAGCTGGGATGTGAAGGTAGGCCTTCTGACTTCAGAATCTGTGTTACTAAGCCATATGCTGTACTAGTTGTACTTAGAGACAGGAGTGGCATTGTTTCATCACTCACAGTCACTACAATGACTGAGAAGTACTTGAAGACATGGAAAATAAGAATTTAGTCTCATATCCAGAAGTCTAAGTATGCTTTGCTAAATTATGTATGAATTTACTGAGAAAGGGCTTTACTTGTGATGAAACTTTTCATGTCCTCAGAAGTTGCTTTTGACTGAAGCCTTTAAAAGTACAAGGGTCAACTTTTAGAACTCAGTAATAAAGAATCTTCTTAAAAAGAAGATAATAACCGATAAGCACATGAAAAGATGTTCATCATTAACCTTCACAGAAATGCAAATGAAAACCACAGTGAGCTATTGCTTCACACTCAGTAGGATGTGGGTAGACAGTCAGTGTCAGTAAGAAGGAGAAAAATTTGGAACATCTGTACTTGCTGGTGGTAATGTAAAATGGTGAGGCCGCTTTGGAAAATAGCCTGGCAGTTCCTCATACAATGAACAGAGTTACCATATGACCCAACAGTTTCACTCCCAGGTATGTACAGAGAAAGGAAAACTTGTCCTTAGTAAAGCTTACGCATAAATGTTCATAGCAGCATTGTTCATAATAGCCTCAGAACAGCCCAGGTGTCCCATCAAGTGATGAATAGAAAAACAAGTAAATAAAATGTACTGACACATGCTGCAACATGGATGATCCTTGAAAGTATCATACTAAGACACCAGACCGTGTAGAAGGCCGTGTAGTGTATAAATTACACTGATCTAAAACCTTCAGAGTAGGCAAATCTGTGTTTAGAGCTAGAAAGTATATTAGTGAGGAGGGACTGCTAATGGATATGGAATTCCTTGAGGGGCGATGAAAACGTTCTATATTTAGATTGTGGTACTGGTTGTATAACCCTACAAATACATTATAAACCACTAAACTGTAAACTTTGAATGTGTGAATTGTATGGAATGTTAATTGTATTTCAACAAAACTGTTAACAAAAAGATAAAACAAAATACTGGATCTTCTGTTTGTATAAAGCTGGAATGGAGGCATGGGAGCTGTTGATAACAAAAAACCAGCACTAGAAGCATGGTATGAGTCTCTCAGGGGGTTCAGCAACAGTGGGATTCTCCAGGGAATGAATAAGCACAAGTGGCAGAGATTCAAGAAGGCAGATGAATGGCAGTTTTAGAATCTAGATGAAGTGACATTTGGAAACAGAACAGTAGTCTTCAGGGTCGTCCTAAGGATTAATCTATCTTACGTGACTGCCTCTGAATGCTTGAAGGAGATTACTGAGAGCTATAAATTGTAAAATGAGGTCCAATTATTGTAACAGAGGATACAATTTTGATTCTGCCTCTTGAAATTCTGAAAAGAATTTTTTTGTTTTGTTGAGTCCTCTAAAAAAATCTGTCTCAACTCATCTCTGTATGGGCCTTTTTAAAAAAAAAAAGTTTTAATTTAATTTATTCATTCGTTTATTTTAATTTGACCAGAGTTAGAGAGAGAGGGAAAGTGAGGAAGCAAGCCACTAGGTCCAGGACTCAAACTGTGGTTGGCCATGTGGGAGTGTCCAGTGCCTTAACCTCCCCACTACCTGCTGGTCTCCCCTAAAATTTTTCTTTTTTTTTTTTTTTGGCAGACATTTTTGCTATAGGGCACATGTGCTTGCCAGAGAGACAGAAAGTGAGAAGTCATCCCCCAGGTGGATGGCCATGCCATAATCCCTTTTTCTCCATTCTCCTTTTGAGATTTTGGGCACACACACACAAGCGCCCAGCGTGAGTTTTAAAGCGCCAGGTCCATGACTTGAACCACGGTTAACTACTTGGGAATCCAGTGATGTAACCATTACATTATCTGCTAGTCCCATGTATGGACCTTTTTCTACGTGATTTTTTTTTTTTTTTTGTAGTTTGTTCTTGTCTGAAGCAATTTAGTCATTCTTTTGTCGAAACCATTTTGATCAAAGATAAGAGGTTATTGAAATTACAAGCATTTTCATAGACACATAATACTAATTTTGTTTTGTTTTTAGATGCTGTTAGAGAAATTTGTTGAAGAATGCAGGTTTCCTCCTGTGCCAGATGCCATATGCTGCTATCAAAAGTGCCATGGATATTCCAAAATCCAGATATACATAACTGATCCAGACTTCAAGGTAAAATAATGAATGTACAGTGGGACAATTGGAGGCACTCAGGTGGTCTGGCTTGTTAGTAGGTTTACGTCCTCTTTTCTGCCCCTTCACTTGGACTTCTTTTATTTATATTCAAATCCATAAGAAAATCAGAGTACATCCAGTTGTAGCCAAATTAAAGGAGACTTTCATTAAGCTAGTGGCTGCAGAGAACCTCATGTCACTCCAAAATCTTACAGCCCCGAAGCAGGGGGGAGGAAGGTATATAAAGGCAAAAACCACAAAAGAAAAAAAAAAGCATGCATCTAAGAAAGTACAGGCCTTGAGTTATGTGAAAGTGGCTCACAAAAACTGAAAAAAAGCGAGTTATCAGGAAGGACAGTTATAAATGGCTGCATCCGCTGGTGATAAATATTTGGTTAGAAGGACAGGGATGGATGGCAGCATTCACCTACTGGTGATAAGCAGTCAGTGAGGAATTTTCAGGAGACGCTTACAGGTCAGGTTACAGGGAAAGGGAAATGGCAGCGGAGTCATATTCAAAATGGAGATGCTCATGTTTCACTTTCTGTCTACATCATCTTTTGTGAGACCCCAGAGCCACCAAAATAAACATTGTGACCTGAGAAGGCAGGCTAGCTAGGTTTATTGATATTTCCTTCTAGCCACTGTTTCACGAAACTGCTCAGGTAACTGCTTCGTCCTCAGGAGCATAAGACCCAAAGTAAGATTATTATCTTTGATTCATTGGAATTTTTATATCTAGCAAAATTTGATTCCAAGAATATAAAGGCCATTGTGATCACTTGATTGGTCTTAGTGACGTAAATTTGAGACCAAATCTGGCATTTAATGAAATAAATAAATTACCAGTTTATTTATAAAGATAATGGTTGCCCACTATCTCTGGTTAGTAGATTAAATGAAATAAAGTTTATAAAATGTTTGATATATTGTAAAAGATAATACATCTTTATACTGTAAAAATGAGGATATTAGTTAAGTTCTTTATCCCTGGCACTAGGCAATTTGGGATCAGACTTACTGCCTCTTTCATGGAATGTGTAGTTAGGTCTGTCAGGTAAATGCAACAACTCTACCTTGACTTGTGTGTTGTAAGTAAGTGTGTTGACTTGTGTGTTGTAAGTAAGTGTGTTGACTTGTGTGTTGTAAGTAAGTGTGTTGACTTGTGTGTTGTAAGTGTGTGTGCATAAACATCTTTAAAATGTGAATTAAAATTTTTTTCTAGGGTTTTATACGAATCAGCTGTTGCCAGTACTGTAAAATAGAATTTCACATGAACTGCTGGAAGAAACTGAAAACAACCACCTTTAATGATAAAATTGACAAGGTAAGGCATAATATAAATAATATCTAGGTTTTTTTTTTTTTTTTTTTTTTTTTTTGCTATAGGGCACATGTGATCGCCAGAAAGATGAGAGAAAGAAAGCGAGCAATCACCCTCCAGGGAGGATGGCCACATTGCAATCCCTTCTCCTCCATTCTCCTCTCAGGATCTTAGGCATGCACGCACCTGGCATGAGTTCAAGCCACCGGGTCCCAGACTCAAACTGCAGTCAACTACATGGGAGTCCAGTGACATAGCCATTATGCCAACTGCTGGTCCCAATTATCTAGATCTAGATTTTTACTAGTATTTTTTGTATTGATTCTGTTCCTACCAGGAATCTTAAAAAAAAAAAAAAGAAAAAAAGTCGTAAGTAAATGTAACTTCCTTCCTGAGCATTCTAGATGCAATTAGAACTTTTTAAGTTATAATTCTAATATTAAAGCAAAATATCAGTCTTTGTTTGATTTTATGCAATTATAAAAGCAGTACCCATTTATTAAATGATTTAATAAATCATTTAACCAGCTTTTGTAGTGGGAATAGCTTGATGAAAAATAAACATTTAGGGCCAGCCCCGTGGCCTAGTTGTTAAGGGAGCCAGATCCTGAATGGCTGACCTCAGCTCCAGCACCTGGGGGGGACATAGTGGGGAGATGTGTGTGTGTTCCAAATTCTGACAGGGTAGGAAAATAGAGGAGAAAGGATTGTGGCATGACCATGTTCCATTGTGGGGTGCTTTGTCCCTCCTTCCCTCTTTCTCTGAATCTGTTTCTCTCTGATAACCACATGTATATTCTGAGAATTAAAAATAAACATAAAGGGAGGCAACAGGTGACATGATGGTTAAGGTGCTAGATTCCCACATAGCCAACCGTGGTTTGAGTCCCAGACCTAGTGACTTGCTTTCTCACTTTCCCTCTCTCTCTCTCTGTCTCTCTCATCAAATTAAAAAATAATAAATAAATAAATCTTTAAAAAAATTAAAATTCAAATGTTTGAATTTCTAATACAGATCATAAATTTTGTACTGATAATTTTTGTCTTTCATGGATCTTTCATTCATCACAGTGTTGATATAGAGTTGATGTCTTAAAATTTTTATTTTCTACCAAAACTTGATAAGGTAATTTATACTAAGAAATCAACTGACATTCTATAATGACGTCTCTCCTTGGAGGTTTTCTGTACTTAGAGAAAAGGCACAATTTCACAATCTATTTGCATTTATATAATTTGTTTCTAATCTGTATAAGCTATGGGCTTAGAAAACCTTTTTGTACATTGCATAGGCTCATATAGACCACTATCCTTATTGGAGAAAAAATGAGGTTGTGCTAGGTGTCTGTTTGCAACAGAGATTATTCAAGTTAGTAGAAATCACTTCTCACATTTTGTACATTTTCACATAGTTCACTGAAGATGTAATGGTATGACCAAATAACTATTGCCCTCTAGTCACTTCTGTACTGTCTTTGTCTTACCTAAATGGAGTTTCTGAAGTGACTTACTCAGCCTAGTAGTTTTGACTGTTTTTTTTTTTTGACAGTTTTGACTGTTCCCAGGTTTTTTATTTTTTGTTTATCAAATAATTACTTATTTAATTTTTTAAAATTAATTATGTTTAATTTGACCAGAGAGACGGAAAGTGGGAAGGCAAGCTACCAGATCCAGGACTTGAACCGTCAAATGGGAGCCCAGTGCCTTAACCACTACACTACCTACTACCCCTTGTTCCCAGGTTTTGAATTAGTTCGCTTTGTAAAGTATCACTAAGATGTGCTATAGTAATACTCAACCCAATTATTTTGTGGTTTACAGTTAGAGAGGGTCATTTTTTGTGTACATCACTTGTCATACTGGCCATAGATGGGCTCTAGCAACCCTGTTGTACATAGCCATGTTTTTTGTTTCTGAATCTGATTTAAAGAGTGTCCTTTTCTGGAACATGTTCCTGTGTCAAAGGGAAAAGAGCAGTGGTCAGTGTATGTAAACTTAAATCCTTTGCTTAGGCATGTCAGTTCACTGACCCAAGCAAGTCGCAAGATCAGCCCTATACCCAGAAGGTATTCTTCCTTTAGGGAGGCTCTGAAAAGCATATGGCCATGAGCAAGGACTTTCAGTGCTTTCCTGAAGAAGGATCGAAACGGACCATATTTTGACTACCTGGTAGTTAAAATGGTATGTCTATATAGATTTATCTGTGCCTGCCCCCATGTCCCAGAAGTATAACATTGTTCTGTTTTATTAATTAAATAGGATTTTCTACAAGGAATCTGTCTTACCCCTGACTGTGAGGGTATCATTTCTAAGATCATCATCTTCAGCAGTGGTGGTCAAGTTAAATGTGAAGTAAGTATCTAAGTCTTATTAAATTGATAGCCCAAATGTTGACATGTTTTAAAATATTGGTAGAAGTCGTATAATTTGGATCTTGCCTTTTCCAGAAAGGAAAGTTACTTCATTTAAGAAAATATAGGAAATATTAGGATATGCAAATGCCTTATAGAGATGAAGCATTCTCGTGCTCTTTTATTTCCCCGTGGAAAGAGGCTTTTTACATTGTAGCTTTACTATTTTACTCCTTTAGATAACTGTCTTGTAATCCCTAGTGAATATTTGAATATTGATGAGGAAGGGGGCTGTGTCCTTAGGGATGAGAAGTGTCTTAAGGAATTTCTTTAACTTTATTATGTAGAGTGGCAAGAGTGGGTAGTTGTAATAATTTTGTGATTCACTGGATTTTCCGCTTACTCCTAGTTTTTATTAACTTCTTCCTAAAGTATGTCTACTCACTTGTTCCTCTTTTCAGTAAATTACTTTGCTGAAGCTTTCTGGGTTTTAGCCCATAAAGATATCTGATTCAGAACGTCGTCACTGTTCTCTATGAAACTGAACACTGACTGTGTGCTTCTGAAATACTTGTTGCTTGTGGTTTTGTGCTTTATGTTATGAGAGTATGAGACAAATTTTGGATGTCTTTGTTTTATTTTTAGTTTGAACACAAGGTCATAAAAGAAAAGGCTCCTCCAAGACCTATTCTGAAACAGAAATGTTCTAGGTAAGATTTTTAACAATCAGTAGTGTAATGATATATATCCTGGAATATAATTCTATTAAATGCAGATGTCTAAATTATGCTATTCTTTAAATTGACTGTGTGCACATATATCCAAATAAGTGTTTTGTAAATAGTTTTTATAGTTATTTAAAACTTAAAGAGAACGAACCTAGAATGTTTAAATATGTAAACTTGAATCAGCATGATTATTTAGTGGTTAAATTTGTAAGTAAAATTATGACAACTAGTGTCACGAAATTATGTTTGATTAATAGATTTGGCATTTAGGTAAAAATTATATTTTTAGTTATAGGTTGTTTAAACTTTAATTCCAAAGCATTTTTCATTTTTCTCTCTCTTTGGCAAGTATTTGAACAATGATGTTTCTTACTGTGAAATACTCAATGTATTCTAAATTATCCACTTTTCTGTGTCTTTTTGTTCAGCTTAATTAATTCTATTTCTTTTTCTTCTCCTTTTTGTCCTGTTTCTTGTTTTGCATTCTAAGAAGTGATTCTTTTTCATTATTTGTTAATGAGAAAAAGCAAAAGAAAAAGATGAACAGAATTATTTGATAGGGAGAATTCATTGTAATTAGATGAACCAAATTCCCATGCTATCAGTCATTACAGGGATATGAAAATAATATTTTATTATGAGAGATTTCTTTGAAATAAAAGTTTACATATATTTTCTTGCAGAGTAACTTGTACTCTTTTTATTTATGCTGCCATTTATATACATGGGAATGACATCTACATAATCTACTATGACTTAGAAATCACTTAATCTTTGAGGTTGTTGTTTTTATGAAACAAATACTCTTATTTTGATTGAATTGTGATCGTGTAAATCTGTGGGGTTTTTATATTGGACAGAAGATGTAGGCCAGGTTCTAACTACAAAGGAAACCTTCTAACCTATTGCTTGGAGAATGGTTTCTACAGTAGGCAGAGGAAAGTAGTTCATTAGCTTATACCAGAGGTGAATTATCCCTAAATATAAATATTTATCAGCCTAGAGAAGCTAAGACTGAAAGAAGACAAAAAGCTGAAGAGAAAGATCCAAAAAAAAGAAGCAAAAAAGTTAGCACAAGAACGAATGGAAGAGGACCTGAGAGAAAGCAATCCACCCAAAAATGAAGAACCAAAAGGTATGCAAAGCCCAAAGCATGATATGAGTAATATATGCTTGCTTAAAGTATAAATATAAATATTCACCTTATTGGACCTTATAGTAATCATTTCCTCATTGCAGTCCAGGTTTCAGTTAGTATTTTAATGTGGTCATCATCATCTACTCCAAACTGGAGTGTGTTGGTTTGAAGAACACTGATTTTAAAAACGATACACACGATCCAGATGCTACTTGCTGCTAACTCTGGGCAGTTTCCTTGTTTCAAAGTGAAGGTGGACTTAATGTCTGAACTACATATTGGATGTTCGAGAGTGTGCTATAAATTCTGCTATGTGGATTTAAGTTCCAAAATGTTGAACTGTAAATTAGCAACCAATGATCTGAAATAATGCTGAGTTCAGATGCAGAGACAGTTCACCCTTCAATTTGGTGTTCATCTATTCTTTTTTCTCTGATCAATATGGGAATGTCTCACGGACCCTGTGTACATGTTGGCCAGTGTGTTTCTTTTCAGTTTTGAGTTAAATTTTTCTTTCTTTTTTACTATTGTGACTGTTCCAAAGTGAAACTTGCTCTATTTTTTTATCTAGTATTCCAATAATCTTTCACAAATGAATCAAAAGTATTTTTCCCACTAAAAAATTTTTCAGTGACTGTATAGTAAATATGCATACTTGCTGACTAAACGTGTTAATTGAATATAAAATTAAGTAGTTGATGAAGCTAGGTTTGGATTGTTGAGGGCAACAACTGTCGTATTTTACTGAAACTAAGTTTTTAGATACTGTTGCATGAATGGTGCAGAATGAAGGGTATATAGGACTTACTTTTGATATGTTTGATTTAATATAAACATTCAGATCTTTTCAGAGATATTAAATATTCATATTCCTAATTTAAAACTTCTTGAGATTTTTATGTAAAACAAATATAGAATCAATCTGAGTCATTTTATATTATATGGTGTTACATTTTTTCTGGTTTACATTATTGCAAATTCTATTTATTAACTATTATTATTTATCCTTAGAAACAGTAGACAATGTTCAGAATTGTCAGTTCCTGGATGACAGAATTCTACAGTGCATTAAGCAGTATGCTGACAAAATTAAATCTGGCATACTGAATACTTCCAAGCTTCTTAAAGAATTGCTTTCTTGGAAAGTTTTGAGCACAGAAGACTATACAACCTGCTTTTCCAGCAGAAATTTCCTAAATGAAGCAGTGGACTACGTCATTCGTCACTTGATTCGAGAAAAGGATAGAGTGAAGACAAGGATATTTCTGCATGTTTTAAGCGAGCTTAAAGAAGTGGAGCCCAAATTAGCCACTTGGATCCAGAAACTTAACAGCTTTGGTATGTCCCTTCACGTTTGGGAGTAATGTAGTGTAACAGAAAGAATAAACATAGGTCTCTGAATCCTTTTAATTTTCCTGTCAAACCATTTATGATGTTTCAGATACAGACAGGACTACAAATGTGTATAGTTAAAAATACTCTTTCTCCATGAGCCAGTAGGTGGCATTGGATCCCACATGGCCCAGTATGTGGCTTGAATCCTGTACTAGGCAGCTTGAAAATCATGTTGGTGGGTGTGTGTGCAGGTCCAAAATCCCAAGAGGAGAATGGAGAAAAAGGGATGTGTCATGGCCATCTTCTCTGAGAGATGGTTTCTCATTTTCTCTCTCTCTGTCTCCAGTGATCATGTGAGCCATATGACAAAAATCTTTAAAAAAAAAAAAAAAAAAAAAAAAAAGAAAGAAAAGAAACAATTTCCCCATACACACACACACATATACACACATAATTTTTTTTAAATAATTATTTATTCAACTCCATTTATTATTATTTTTTATTATTATTATATTTGACCAGACAGAGAGAAAGGGAAAGCAGAAAGCAAGCCACCAGGTCCAGGACTCAAACCGTGGTCGGCCATGTGGGAATCCAGCACCTTTATCCACCGCTCCACCTGCCAGCCCCACACACATAATTTTTAGGTTATTTTCTAAATAGGTTGTGAATCACAGATTTATGTAACTCTACTACTCTGTTATGACTTTCTTAATTTGACTGAGAACTAGAAGGCTCATTGCCCTGGGCCATTGCAGGGCCTACAGAAGGCAGCTGCGGATACAATTGCTGTATAATACTAGGTCTTCTAGAGTGCTGCTCGCCTGGTAGCCAGGATAGCAACCGTCCTAGCACAGCACTGGATTCCATCAGAAGCTGTTAGATAAAGGACTAAAGAAAAGAGCAGGGCATTTCATCAGCAGTTCAGAGAGTAGTGGGGCTTACTTAGCCTGTAGAGACCACCCAGGCCCCCCACATCCTTCCTGGCCTGAGTTTTTAGACATAGGGCTATTAGACTCCTAGGCTGTGAGGACCGGCCCCCATTGCACAGTGCTAAGTCATTGTGCAGAAGAAGCTGGATCTCACACGGCCAACTGTGGTTCAGAATCTTACTCCAGGGCCAGTACACCAGGTGTGTGTGGTCGTGTGCAGCTCCTGATGGGATGGAGAGACAGAGGAAAGGATTGTAGTGTGACCTTGTGACCAGATCCCATTGTGGGGTGCTTTCTCTCTCTCTCTCTCTCTCTCTCATACACACACACACACCCTCTGGCATTAAAAAAATAAAATAAGTTTAATAAAAAAAGAACCCTAGGGTTTCAAAGAAAATATGATCAATTTTTATCAGTAAAGACAAAGTAGGATGATAGCAGAATTGACTAAATGAGTCTTGTTTGAGCATAGGTCTCTTAAGTTTCTGGCCTAGAAGATTACTCTTAAGTGATGTGATTATCATTAGCATTTTCTAACAACCAGATAAGTAACTTACAAAGTTATTTCTTTAATTCGTTTGCAAGATAGATTCAGGACTGGAGCACTAGGCTTGGCTGTTTATGCTGCATGAGCAAGAGCACCCACTGTTCATTCAGGTTAATACAATACATGAACCTCCCAGCTCACTGCAGGAGAAATGGGAATGTGGCATGTTTGTTGTTGTTGTTGTTGTTTAAAGGTTTTTGCGGTAGGGCACATACACTCACTGAAGAGAGACAGTGAGGGGGAAAGTGAGAAATCACCTCACCCTGGGAGGAATGGCCACGTGCAGTCCATACTCCTGGAATTTTGGTCATGCATGCACATGTGCCCAGTGTGATCTTTAAGCCTCGAGGTCTGGGACTTAAACCATGATTGGCCATGTGGGAGTTCAGTGCCTTAACCACTGCACCACCCGTGGCCCCAGGTACGTGTCTTGTGATGTAATCCATGTTCATTCTGAAGATTTTAAAGATATCCTCAAAATAAGCACATATGCATACTATTTAAAGTTGTACTTTGAATTAAAATACTAATTAGTAAGCCTGTAACTATAGCCCTGATGTAAACTCACATTTATTTAATGAAAGCAAGCAACCAATACCTGGAATTTTACTTCCTTCTCACAAGAAGTCTGTACAGTGTAGTCACTTCAGGCACATATTTCACATTGGAAAATTTAGTTAGTATATTTAGCAGAAGAGGATGAAAATGGGAGAAATAGAGTAAAAGAAAGAGGGAGGGGTAGAGGGAGAAAGGGGAGAGAGAAAATGAGTGCAAACGAGGCAGAAAATAGAGCACAAGTGAAAGAAAACATTTCATTAGTAAATATCTGTCCATTCCCTTCACTAAGCCTAGAGTAGGGAATGTATCACTAGGTGGGGTATTCCTTCATTGGTGGCTCCCTTCATGTGGTCCCTAGCTCTGGCATTTAAAGATGCTAATTTCATCTGCAAAATGATCTTTTTTTTCTTTCTTTTTTTTGCGGGGGGAGAGATTTTTGTTATAGGGCGCGTGCGCTCGCCAGACAGACAGAGACATAGAGACAGAAAGCGAGAAATCATCCCCCCAGTGGGGATGGCCACGCTGCAATCCATTCTCCTCCATTCTTCTCTTGAGATCCTGGGCACGCATGCACACACGCCCGGCGTGAGTTTCAAGCCACCGGGTCCGGGACCCGAAACCGCGGTCAACTATGTGGGAGTCCAGCAACATAGTCATTACACTAACTGCTGGTTCCCTGCAACATGATCTTTACAAGCTGTCTCATCTAGATGAAGAAGCTACCCATGGTCATTTTGACTCAGTATCTCTGCTTCATCTGCTGGCTTAAGAACCCAAAGCCCATGCAAGAACTGTGCTATACTAAAGGAATGATGGGAAGTCCAACAGAGATCTCTTTTGCTTTTTGGTGACTGTGTTAGTAAAGAGCAGGTTTCACTGTCCTTTCAGTAAGGGTATATGACTTTGCAGCTGCCCTGTTTTCTGCCTTGGAGAAAAGGGAATAAGGAATAGTAAGCACCTTGGTTTTTGTTCAGGAGCAAAGCTATTTGGGGACATACGAAATAGTTCTTGGAGTTGTTGGGGGAGGAGTTTACCCATTTCCTTTTTTAAAGGCTTCTGGGAAGATCTTATATGTTATTGATATTTTGTTGCTGTGGGATACCTATTAGAAAACATGAGAAAATTTTGCTAGTTTGTACTAATTGGAATGAAAGTTATTGTGAGTTAGTGAAAAAATTACTGTTATATTTTTAAATGAACTCAATGCAATACTTACGTCTAATAAAGATAACTATGATGATACAAGCCTTTAACCCCCCTTATTCAACAGTTGCTAAGATTTATTGTACTTAGCATATCAATGTTGAATGGTGTTCAAAATGCATGATAGCTTAAACAAGTCTGTTGGCAAGGTTTTTAATGTTTCCATTGAAAATATAAGCAAACTATAATGGAACTGCTTTCAGGAATAGGGAGCTGGATGTGATTTTTATGGTAAACAATTTTCCCTCCTCTGACTTGAGTTTTTTTGTATTTATATGTTTTTTTATTACAGGCTTAGATGCCACAGGACCTTTTTTTTCTCGTTACGGAGCATCTCTGAAGGAGCTTGATTTTAGCATCATGACTTTTCTGTGGAATGAGAAATACGGTCATAAACTCGGCTCTATAGAAGGAAAGCAACTTGATTATTTCTATAAGCCAACATCACTGAAGGAAGCACGTGGTTTAATATGGCTGCTAGAAGAACACAGAGACAAATTTCCGGCGTTGCATAGTGCTTTAGATGAATTCTTTGACATAATGGGTATGTGGGCCAAGTTTTGAATTACGTTATGTCTAATCTTAAGGGAAAAGTCTGGAAAGACATAGCTTAATTAAATACAGAATACACCCAAAGTTGTTCTACTTACCACTTTTTGACTTTACCATAGAGTGAAAACAATACAAGGCATTCAGTAGAAACCACACTTTGAATTAGTAGTCAAAATACATTTTCATCTTGTGGTATTTTCAGCTTACCATAGGTTTATCAAGACATATCCCCATCATAAGTCAAGGAGTATCTATTACTGAACAAAGAAAATAGTGAAAATAATTATAGTACAGTTGGTTTATTTGGGGGAGTTAGTGATTGTTTTTGTTTGTTTTATTTTTAATGTCATGAAATTTTCAAGCTAAGAATTATATAGATACACTCAGATGGGTGTATCTATCATAATTCTTATAATACACTAAGAATTATTCTAATGACACATCATGCTATAGCTATGTCACATTTTGACAGCATATGAAGTGGACAGAATTTATTAGGTGGTCTGATTTTTAAATTTGCTATAGGTCACTTGCGCTCGCTGGAAAGAGACAGAGAGGGAGAGAGGGGAGATAGTGAGAAAGCACCCCAGGTAGGATGACCATGCTGCATTCTCTTATCTATCTCCACTTTTCTCTTGGGTTTTGGGTATGCATGCACACACAGTTGGCATGTTTCTCATGCTGCTGGATCTGGGACTTGACCCAGGCAGTTGGCCATGTGACATCCAGTCACTTTAACCACCACACTACCTGGCTGGCCCCAGGTGGTCTGATTTGTATTTAAAAAAAGAAACCGGCCTACAAAAGTTCATGGTGTTTGCAGACTCTAGAACAGATACCACATCTGTTTTAATGGGAAATGCCTAGAACTGGGAATCAGGAAAAATTGTGATACAGTTTTTTTCCCTAATTCAGCTCATTAGAAAAATTTGTGGGACCAGTGCTAAGTGTTAAGAAGGAATTCAGAAATGCTTATACCAGTTCCTGGTGTAAGCATTCCTCAAGGACCTGATGCTCTAGAAGAGGGAACGGCAAGAATAACTGTAATATATGGTGAGCTCAGGAAAGGAGACTCAGACAAAAGTCTGGAGACTTCAAAGAGCCTAACACTTTCATTCTTCCCATGAGAAGAAAGCCATGGTGTAGGGGTGGAGTCTGAAATGGACTGCCGACATAGAAGTGGAATCAGACAGTGGGTATCAGGACTTAGAGATGTAGGTTGGAGGAGAACTGGGAGGGCCTATTTGGGAAACAGCATGGAATCCAGTTTGGCAGAATAAGATAACTAACAGTTAATACCTTATCTTCTCTTGGATCTTAGTGTCCTCATCGTTAAAATGAGATGATTTGGACCCAGTGATCTGCAGTCCCATTTTACTTCAAAATTTGATATGGGACCAGCAAGTGGCATGGCAGCTAAGGTGCTGGACACTCCCACATGGCTAACCACAGTTTGAGTCCCAGACCTGGTGTAGCTTTCTCACTTTCCCTCTCTTTCTGTCTCTCTCTCTCTGGTCAAATTTTAAAAAATAAATTAAAAAAATAAATAAATAAAATTAATGATTTAAAAAAATTTTAAAGACAAATTTATTATTCTTGGATTCTAAATTAATTTTAATTTCTTTCACTCTACACATTCATTTTATGAACCTCTCCCCCCATTTCCCTCAGCATCAGCAGGGTGCAAAGAATAGTGTCACCCATTATAAAGCTCACACATGTGATGGTTAAGGTGCTGGATTCCCAGATGGCCAAACATGGTTTGAGTCCCAGATCTGGCAGCTTGGAAATCATGCCGGACATGTGTGTGCATGCCCAAACTCCCAGGAGAATGGAGGAGAAGGGACTGTAGTATAGCCATCCCCCCTAGGGGCTATTTCTCACTTTCCCTTTTTCTGTCTCTCTTGGATGGGTGAAGGCATATGCACTGTGGCAAAATAAATAAATAAATAAATAAATAAATAAATAAATAAATAATTCACACACAGTAGAAAGAATTAGAAGGCTACTTTATTGCAGTTCCTCTGGAAGCACACACTTCAGTATTGATGGCTTTATCTTTCCAACACACTACTTCCTGACAGAGGTGACCTGTTGCTTCATAGCTGGAATTTATTGCCATCAGTTTGCTGCTGCTGGTAATAAAACTCTGTCCTGGGACTGAGCTTAAAAAACCCATCGCATGTTCGGATCATAAAAGTCAACTTAAAAGGACACTATTCCCCTCAGTGTGCACGCTTCCTGATTCTTGTGTTCTGTAAAATGCATAGTACAGAAGCTATAATTGTTTCTCTGCCTTTAGAGCCAGAAGACAGCAGCCAAATTACTGGCTGTCCTATCAGATTTGCAAATCTAATAGCTCTCCTCCTCACCATTACCCTCACCCCAGACATTTTTAATTTTCTCTCTTCATTTAAAGGCCCCAGACATTTTTAATTTTCTCTCGTCATTTAAAGGAGGGGTCATCTTTTTTTTTTTTTTTTAAGATAGGATTTTCTGTAGGGCACGTGTGCTTGCTTGAGAGAGACAGAGAGTGAGAAAGCACTCCTCAGCAGGATGGCCACGCTGCAGTCCCTTCTCCTCCATTCTCCTCTCGGGATTTCGGGCACACATGCACACGTACCCAGTGTGAGTTTTAAGCTGTCCTAAGGTTTAGGACTCAAACCGCAGTCAACTACGTGGGAGTCCAGCGACGTAACCATTACGCTATCCGCTGCTCCCTGGATTATATATTTTAAAATCTTTCAAAATTCACTGAATCGATTAGTCATGGTATTCAGTACCAAAACTGAGATAGTTGGGAATCCCAACTTCTCTCTGAACCTCAGGTGCATATTTCCTTAGGAAATTTTTGTGTAGACAGCCAAGGGCTCTTGAAAACAATATGACTGAACCCGTTTAGCATAGCCTCTCCCCCTCCCCCATTTTTCTTTTCCTTTTTTAAAAAGAATTATTTAGTTAAAATTTGTTACTATCATCTATTTTTTAATTTGACCAGAGAGAAAGGGAAAGTAAGAAAGCAAGCCTCCGGGTCCAGGACTTGAACTGTGGTTTGCCATGTGGGAGTCCAGTACCCTAAGCACCATACCACCTGCTGGCCCTGAGTCCTGTTTTTCTAAGTGCATCTTTAACATTGGTGTATATTTATCTTTTAAGCAGGAAGCCCTGGAATTAGTCTCAATTCTTTCTTTTCCCTCTTCCTGTTATGACTAAATTGTTGTCAGTGCCAAAACACATTATCTCTGATGTGTCCTTTCCTGTCCGCCCTACTTCCCTAGGCCAGCAGGACCTTAGTAAACTTCCCACAGTTCGACTGTTGGAATAGCCTCCACACTGCTCTCCATGCCACTAGACTCCTCCCAGTCTTCCTCTTATATTGGCACTAGTGATTCTTCCAGACTCTTTTATCCTGTAACTATTCTATTTGGAAACATTTGCTTAGTTTCGCCAGGAATGAAGTTTGCATCATCTCTCTGAGGTCATCATCACTCTTCCTGTCTGCCCCCTGGATATGTACCCAACTTCCAACTGTGCCCAAACCTTTGTTGGGCTTCCTACCTGCTCTCTTAGCTCACACAGTTCCCCTTACTAGGAGGGGACATTTCCAGTCTGACTTAGATGTCTCCTCACCAGAGCCTCCACAGCCCGTCCTTGGCCTTTCCCCTTGAAGACTTTATCACCCCGTCAGCTTTGTTGCCACCGTATTTCCCTGTTGCCCTCAGCACCCTGGTTCACGGATGCTGTCCTTCCGTGGCTGTAGAGCACCAGTTTGTATGCCAGCGACTATCACAATGCATCTCCGCCCAGCACCGGGCATAGGTGGCCCCTAGCAAGTACCCTGGATAGGCCGGATAGATCCAAGTGCTGTGGTTCTTTGTAGTTGGTTCCCATTTAGTCAGTCCTTTGCCCTTGGTGAGTTCAGTCTAAACTGCGGTAAAGCCAAATAAGGGATAGAATGTAGTCTATGCTGTCTTAGAGGTTGGGGGTAGTTTTCAGGCTTCAGTATATTGTATGGAAATGTAAACACTGAGTTTCCTCACAGAACCATCTGTGTCTTCCTACAGACAGCCGCTGCACTGTGTTAAGGAAACAAGACAGTGGTGAAGCGCCGGTGAGTGATCACTTTAACATCACGCTCTGATTTGTACTAGCCAGAAGAGAGGAGGACCCAAGCTAGTGCCCATTTACATTACAGGTGGCACCCAGAACTATTCAAGTGTGCAGTAACGTAGACGACGTATGCTTTCCATTAGGAAGTGAATGCCAGTCTCGTCCTTGAAGTTAAAGCAACAATTAGCTAAGTCTGAGGCTTAAATTAGACAGTTTTGATAAAGTTTCATATTAGAAACAGGAAAGGCAGAGTTATTGAATGATCTCCTAGGGTAAAAATGGAAAGTTACTTTATTTTAAATTATTAAAATGTTAATACTTCATCCTGGAAGGATATCAGAGGGACTTACATTTTGAGTAGCTCCAAGCTGAATTTACATTAAAACAGTTTCTGAGTTGTCTTCCTTAGGAGGTTGTAGTTGCCGTTTATTCTTTCTGGCAGTTCAGAAATTCTTCAGTTTAGGAAAGTGATTAAATAGAGAAAAGAACAGCTTCGTGGCAGTTTTCTTTTCTCTTTTTTAAGAGTTATTTTATTTAACTTTTATTTATTTGACCACAGAGGAACAGAGTGAGAAAGAGAGAGAATGTGAGAAAGCAAGCTTCCAGGTCTGGGACTTGAACCGCAGTCAGCCATGTGGGAGTCCTTAACCACCATGCCACCTGCCAGCTCCCATGGCAGTTTTCAAAGAGAAAATTGCTTGCTTACTGGTTTTGAGGATAAAAATCATGAAATTTTCTCTCAATCTGCTCTGTCAAATATTGCCCAGCTAACTGGAAAAACACAACTAAAATACCCTGGAAGGGAGCTAAATTCTTCTTTATTTACTGTTTGTACCCCAGTGTATGACCAGGTAAAGAATGGCGACTTTGGCTTACTAAAAGGCATATCATAAAAATGCTCTTATAGGGTATAATTGGAATTACTGAGAAGTCTGATTAATTAGTTGAAATACATAAGCCCTGTTGAAAATGAGGTGAAAATATTGGAACAATTTAATTTTAGTTCTAATGCTAGGCATCATTAAACTTTTTCTTATTTTCTCTTATAAGTCACAGCACTTGGGCTAATGCATAATATTTTTATTTAGCATTTTATATACATTTCACTTAAGACTAGTCCATGAAAATACAGTTTCTTTATGTTGAGCTTCATAATGCTGTTATTTAAATGTTTATTAATTTTTTCCCTTTTTTTAGTTTAATCTTACCAAGGTGAAAAACAAAGGCAAGAAAAAGAAGCCAAAAGATTCAAAGGTAATGGAGTATGTTCTGTTTTAATTTTTGTCTAAACTCTCCAAAATAAGTAATCAGATATCTAAGTTAGAATTTAATTCTTGAGATATTTTGAAATATTTTATGGAGAAAGACCTTCTAGGCTTTAGTCTAAGGGGATTTTTGCCAGTCTTTTACATTTTTAAGAAATTATTATTACTTTTTTTTTTTTTTAAGTTTTTTAAGTGCATGTGATCACCAGAAAGAGAGAGAGAGAAAGTGAGAAATCAGCCCCCCCACTGGGGGGATGGTCATGACATGATCCCTTCTCCTTCATTCTCTTCCTGGGATTCTGGGCACCCCTCACATACCCAGTGTGACTTCAGACTGCCAGGTCTGGGACTTAAACTGCAGTCAGCCATGTCTGCGAGTCCAGCACTTAAACCACCATGCCACTTTCTGGTCCCCATTTTGAACAAATTTAAGTTCACTTTGTGTATAAGTAATTCTTGAAAGATATTCTTTATTGTCTTTTTAAACAATTTTTTATATATTTCCAAGTGAAAAGATTGTCCTAATGTAAGCTTCTGTATTCATTCTTAAGCAAGGGTAGCCAAGAAGCTTTGGGGTCAGCAAGTTCTGGGTTCATGTTGTGATTCTATCAGTTATTTTCTGTAATCTTGGACAACTTATTTGGGTTTCCTCTGCCCTCGTACCTTCATCTGTATAATAGTAATAATGATAACCTTTTATTAATACCTGATGGAATTATTGTGCTTATTAAGTAGTAAATGCTTAGTAATTATCACCTATTATTGCTACTACTAATTTATGGGGAGACAAGAAAGCAGAAATAACCGTTTCTAGTCTCAAGTCTTGTTGGAATTATTCAAATAATTATTATCTAAAATATTCAAAAGAAAAGTGACAAGTGCTCATTATAACAGTCTCCTGGCATAAAAATGGGAAGCCATTTTTATTTTAAATTATTAAAATATTGATAGGATACCCTCCTTCCTCTCAACCTAAGGCTCTACTCCCAGCCCTGAGATAATAGGGCATTGTTTTTGAGTCTTGTAGTCATTTCTTCCTGGCTCTCTTGTGTCCAGGCAGAAGTAGGGGTGGGGTGAGAGAGACTGAACAGGGTTAGAAGAAGATGAGAGCAGCTTAGAAATTCCATTAAACTTTTCTTTTTGTCATTTACCATGGTAAAAACAGTCTTTAGTGTAGCTTAAAGGGGAGTTTAAACTGAGTGGCATTTAAATCTTCTTGGAGCATTGGAAACTACCCTATATATTATATACTCTGAGCTTATTTATGGCTGTTGAAATTTGTTAGTATGTATTCCTATTTAAGAGAAAATTTGAATAGATCCTATGTATCTACCTTTGGCAAGCATGTTTATAAAAACATTCATCAATTTTCATTGTAATTTTTTTTCTTTCATGGAATTTTAATGGAGAAAATTATTGTCATTTTTCTGTCTTTTAAACCAGCCTATGTTAGTTGGGTCTGGAACAACTTCAGTGACACCAAATAATGAGACTGTCACTTCAAGTGAAGACCATAAGTAAGTAGTTTTTGAAATTTTACTTTTATTTTAGCTCACATGTTTTCATTTAGTAAATAGCATTATTTAATGTACTATATTCTCACATTTTATTTCCCTTTAAGAACAATTTATTTTATTTAGTAGTATTATTTTAACTTGACCAGAGAGAGAAAGCGATAAACCAAGCCACCCTGTCCAGGACTCAAACCATGGTCAGCTCTGTGGGAATCTAGCACTTTAACCACCAATGCCACCTGCTGACTCCCCCAACTTATTTTCTTAAAGATTTGCATCTGTTATGGCGACTCGATACAGTCCATTTGATTGGATTAATAGTGTGGCTTATGGGCATTAAGAATTCATTCAAACTTGGTAAAGTAGTAGGACTGGTGACATTCGTTCAATAAGTATATATGAGGACCTGCTGTGTGCAAGGACTGTAGGAAAATCCATTAAAAATGTCTAGAAAGTATTTAAAATATTCAGTGGAGCCAGCCAAGTAGAGTGGTGGTTAAGGCGCTGCACCCCCACATGCCCAACCCCAATTTGAGTACTAGCCCAGTGTCTTGAAGATTATGCTGGGCACCGGTGCACGCGTGCCCAAAGGCATTTTCCCAAGAGGAAAATGGAAAAAAAGGGATTGACCATCCTTCTGGGGGTGGAGAGGTAATTTCTCACTTTTCCTCTCTCTTGCTCTCTACCTGGCGAGCATTTCTTCACATGTCTTAGAGGACTTGTAAGAACAGTTCAAATTTACAGTGTCGTGGTTTTTTTTAAGTGGAAGAATTGTTTGAAGTTAAAATAATAATGGCCTTAGTTCACATGGCTGTAACAAAATGTAACAAAATGCCTTAAACTAAGTGGTTTACAAACAACAGCATTTTACTTCTCACGTTTCTGTAGGCTGGGAAGTCCAGGATAAAGGCACTGGCAGATTTGGTCTCTGATGAGGGCCCACTTTCTGGTTCATGATGGTGCCAGTGATGGAAAGGGCAAGGCAGCTCTTTGGGGTCTCTTTTATAAGAGCACTAAATCTCCTTATTAGGACTCTGCTGTCATGACCTAATCACTTCCCAAAGGTTCCACATTTGGTGATTAGGTTTCAACATAGAAATTATAGGGGACACAAACGTTCAGACCACAGCATACTCCTTACTGAGGTTAAAATTTAGGTGCCAGGCTGTGTTCTAAGAGCTTTACGTGGCTGTGCTCATTTACTGCATTCATCTACCCTAGGAGGTAAGTCGTTCTTATGTCCATTATACAAATAAAGAGACTGAGGCACAGCGTAGCTAAATAACTTGTCCAATGACACAAAGCTTTGAAATAGCAAATTCAGAATATAAACTATGCAGTCTAGTTTTAGAGTCCATACTCAAATCATCTTTTTAGAATGCTAAAATTTTACACTTTTTTTCCCTAATTGCCAAAGGGTGTGTGCACTCACCAGAGAAAGAGAATTTCCCAGTGGAGCATGATCACACCGCCTTTTTTCCATTCTTCCCTCCCATCAGGATTTTGAGCACACACAAACGTGCACACGTGCTTGGTATGTTTTTTTCAAACCACTGGGGCCAGTATTTAAAACCATGGTCTACCATGTAGCATCTGGTTCCTTAACTACTGAGCTATGGGGTTGGCCCTACTATTTCTTTCCTTTTTTTTTTTTTAAGAGTTATTTCATTTTATTTATTTACTATCCTTATTCTTTTTTGTGTTTTTTTTTGGGGGGGGATGGGGGCAGAGAAGTTTTTGCTATAGGGCACGTGCGCTCACCAGAAAGAGACAGAAAGTGAGAAGTCACCCCCAGGGGGGATGGCCACGCCACAATCCCTTCTTCTCCATTCTCCTTTCAGGATCTTGGGCATCCACTCACACACATGCCTTGTGTGAGTTTAAGCCACCAGTTCCGGGACTCCAACCACAGTTGACTACATGGGAGTCCAGTGACATAGCCATTACACCAACTACTGGTCCCCTTATTCTTGTTTTTAATTTGCTATAGGACACATGCATTATACCAGAGAGGGAAAAAGCGAGAGAGAGGAAGAAGGAAAGGAAGAAAGCAAGCCACCAGGTCCAAGACTCGAACCACGGTTGCCCATGTGGGAGTCCAGCACTTTTAACTGCCATGCTACCTGCTGGGCCCTCTACTTTTTTTTTTTTAAGCTTGTATTATTAATACCTATTACCAGTTCAATCTCACTTTCACTTTAATTAATAACAATTATAAAAAACAAGTCTTTGTCTCTAATCCTAACAAATTGCAATTAATGTTACATTATTTAAAAACAACCCTGAGGGACCAGCAGTTAGAGTAATGGCTATGTCGATGGACTCTTACGTAGTCTACTCATGTGGCTCGAGTCTCAGACCCGGTGGCTTAAACTCACGCTGGGCGCTTGTGCGTGCGTGCCCAAGATCCTGAGAAGAGAATAGAGGAGAAGGGATTACAGCATGGCCATCTTGTCTGATATTTTTTTCTGATTTCTCATTTTCCCTTTCTCTGTCTCTTTCTGGTGAGCACACATACCCTATTGCAAAACCTTAAAAAAAATGATTACTCAGAATATCAGCTACAGTAACTCTAGACCATCAGTATGGAAGGATGGCCTCTGCATTAAGTTCTCTAGTAGTGATTTTTTTTGGTAGCATAATGCTGAGTAATATGTTACCATTGTTGTGTTTATTTCAGTGAAATTTCTTCTGGTCAACACAGAAGTTTGTTACTCACAAAATTTGTTTTGGTTTTCATCAGTAGACGCAATTCAGAGTCCTCAGGCCCATTTGCAGTGCCTGATCATCTTCGGCAAGATGTAGAAGAATTTGAAGCTCTCTATGACCAGCACAGCAACGAATATGTTGTCCGCAATAAGAAGCTATGGGACATTAACCCAAAACAGAAATGTTCTACCCTGTATGAGTAAGTAGGCTAATATTCTTACAGCTGTTATTTTATACTGAGACTCCAGTATAAAGTTATTAAGTTATTATTTATGTCTTTTGTATTTTTCACAGGACTCATTTATTGGTTCATAACCTCCAGGGAAGAATGTTTTTAGAGCTTTTGCCATAAATTACACAAAGTTAATTGAGGATTTTTTTTTTTTAAGAGAGATTTTTGCTTTAGGGTGTGTGCACTCACTGGAAAAACAGAGAGACAGCAAGAAATCACCCCCCAGGGAGATGTCCACACCGCAATCTCTTCTCCTCCATTCTCCCATTGGGATTTTAGAGACACACGCGCGCGCGTGTGTGTGTGCGCACGCACCCAGCATGAGTTTTAAGCTGCTGGGTCTAGGACTCAAACCATGGTCAATTACTTGGGAGTCCAGAGACATAATCTTTATGACATCTGCTGTCCCTAGTTGAGGATTTTTAATGATAAAGCTTAGAGTCCTAATGATTATTGATTTTGTCAATGTGAGCTAGCAGTTTTATATATACTTTCTACTTCTAAAACTGTCCTATTATGTCCTGATAGAACTGATAAACAGAGTTGTTCCAGCCATAATATTTTTATCTTGAATCTCAAGGAATTCATTTGACAAAGAATAATACTGTTATTTGGTTTTATTGTCCTTATGTTGATGAATGCAGCTGGTTGATATCTCATAATTCCAAGTTCTATATCTTGGTGAAGTATTCCATTTTACAAGGAAAACGTCCTAGTATGACATTGTTACTCTAGCTTGGATGGTGATTCAGGTGGGCTAATAGTGCATGTATAGAGCCCTGTACCTGTGTTGGCTTAGACTTGACTTCTTTACATTGGTCCAATGAAACATACTGTGTGTGTATGTGTGTGTGTGTGTGCGTGGTACATTTTTTTTCAGACAGCGTTTCTATGTTGTGGTCCTCCTACCTCATCCTCTTGAGTAGCTGTGACCACAGCTGCATGCCATTGCACCAGGCTCTTCTAGGCAGGACCTCACTATGTTGCCAAACATATCTGTGAACTTGGGATCCTCTCACCTTGACCTCCTACATAGCTAGGACTACAGTCATGTGCCCCCACGCTTGGCTTTTTTGGAAATGGGGGGATGAACTCAGAACTCTTCTCGTGTGGCCTTAGATGGCTGAGGAGCAGTGTCCAACACACACTGTTGTGGTTGAGCCCATACTTTTCATTTAAGTGACTTTGAGTGTGAGTTACATTAGCATTGAAAATGTGAATGAATGTAAAATTGTAACGATCACATTTGAGTGTGGTGGATAGAACAGCCAAAAAAAAAGAGAACAGGAAAACCTAGGAACCAGCTTATCATTTTGAGCTTGACGTTAATAATACATGAGGCTTTCCTTAAGAAACTGAGGCACAGGCATGGTGGTGGTGCTGTGCTTCACAGGCAGGGACTACATGGGAGGCCCTGGTTCAATTCCCAGTCCACCCTAACAGCCGGGCGCAGTGGTATACACAGTGACTCAGGAGACCAAGACAGAGGGATCTAGTGCTTGAGGCTTTGGCTGCGTGATGAGACCCTGTCTAAAAAAAGAGCGAGGCACGGCAGTACAGGTCTGTAGTCCCAATTGGGAAGCTGAGGCAGAAAGGTCATAGCAGAGTGAAACCCTGTCTTTAAAAAAAGAAAAAAAGAAAAGATATTGAGAACTAAAATCTGTGATAGAAAATTAATTTAAAAGCTATGCTCTTTGGTGGTTAAGGCAGCTCGACCCACTTGGCCAGCTGTGTAGTTTGAGTCCTGGACCCCATAGCTTGAGAAATATGCCAGGTATGTGTGTGTGTGTGTGTGTGTGTGTGTGTGTGTGTGTGCGTGTGTGTGTGTACTTGAAATCCCAAAGGGAGAAACAAATGGAAAAGGAATTGTGGCTGTGCTACATGAAGGTTGCTTCTCTCTCTCTCTCTCACATACCTTCTCACAATTTTTTTTTAAATTAAACCATTTTTGATCATTTCCTTTAAAAAATAAGCTGTTCTCCTAAAAATCCTTTCACTCATGGTTGTTTCTTCTATATTCCTCAATTGCATTATTCCTATTTCGTCTAATGATACACTCTTGAGTCATTCCTGATGAATTTCTTCAGAGTTAAAATTCTGAGCAAATCGTATTTCCAGAAGAATTTTGGATAACAATGTAAAATTGTACTAGTATTTCTGTAAAATTATACTAGTATTTCTTAAAATACGCTAGAATTTGTTTCAGACATCTAGAACTAAAGCTAAAGTGTGTAGTTTTCACTAGCTTGTCTCCTAAAGAATTTGTTGCCTTTTTTTTCTTTTTTTTGGAGAGGATTTTTGCTATAGGGCGTGTGCGCTGGCCAGAAAGAAATGTATCGCCTTTATAAGTGGGAAGAAATTAATCAATTTTATGACAAAAAAAAATTACACTGACTAGTTTGTGTTTTGTGATAGAATTTATAATAGAAAACCAAGAAGTTAAAGAAAGTTATCTCGCAGAACATCATTTCTTGAATTTTCAAAAGTAACACATGTGCGAGACCAGTAGATGGTATAATGGTTACGTCACTGAATTCCCACTGTAGTCAACTATAGTTCGAGTCCTGAACCTGGTGGTTTAAAACTTGTGTCAGGCACCATGTGTGTGCACACAAAATTCTGAGAGAAAGGAAGAGAAGGGATTATGACGTGTCCATTCCCCCATGAGGGGGTATTTCTTGCTTTCTGTCTCTCTCTCTCTCTCTCTCTCTTTGTCTCTCTGGTGAGCACTTGTACCCTACAGCAAAAATCTCTCCCTAAAAAAAAATTTAAAAAGTAAACACGCGTGAACAATGGTTTGTTTTATTGGATAATGAATGAGAAAAAGAAAAATGAAACTAATCTTTGGTATATGAAAAGTTTGTAGAGTAGGAAAATATTAGACGAGATGTGTAGGATACTGGAATAACTGCTATAAGTTAATGTTTTCTTGATGTTAGTCTTTTACTTGAATAGAGAACTGCACTAATTTGGTTTGATGTTAGTCTTTTCTTTAAACAGAGAACTGGACTAATTTGGGCATAATGACCCCTTCTATTTGAAACACTTGGTGATGTAGGTGATTGAAGCAAATTATTCTGCATTTAATTTTTTCTCATATCACTTTAGTAGTAGTTTTACTTCTCAATCTTGTCATTCGCCTTTTTATCTAAAAAAAAAATACATGATAATTTTTCATATCTTTAAACATTCTTCAAAGTCATGACCTTTTTTTTTTTTTTTTCTTTTTTTGGAGAGTTTTTTGCTACAGGGCACATGTACTTGCCAGAAAGACAGACAGAAAGTGAGAAATCACCCCCCGGGGGGATGGTCACGCCGCAATCCCTTCTCCTCCCTTCTCCTCTCCGGATCTTGGGCACGCACGCACATGCACGCACATGCACCTGGCATGAGTTTAAGCCGCCGGGTCCGGGATTCAAACCATAGTCGACTACATGGGAGTCCAGCCATTACGCCAACTGCTGGTCCCCAAAATCATGACTTTTAATAGCTGCTTGGTCTTTCTCTCTGGATCTGCGTAGTCACTTGCATGGCTAATCCCCTTCTGTGGTTGACCCCTCGTGGCTGAATTACTGAGAATAGTCTCCTTTCATGTGGTCTCAGTTCTTCAGTGATCACATTTCATATTTAAGTATTTTATTCCAGATAGAAAAGCTTGTTTTCCAGTGGTACTCATCATTTTTCAATAAATGCTTATAAACTTTTAAAAAAGTAAATACACATCCACCATTCTTCAGTTATTCTGTTGCTTAATGAAAGCTTAACAGTGACTTGAAAGAGCTCTCTTTGAATAGATGGTGGGAGTCAATGTTATTTATACCCATCAGTCAAAATCATTAATAAGGATTACTGTTTTGAGACTCAAATGATTTATTTCTTTTTACCATACTCTCCCTCAGCTCTTTCCTTCTTTTAGCAATTTCTCAATAAGTAAGTTTGATGGGAATCAAAGCAAAGCATATTTCACCGCACCTTGTGAAACAATATAAAAAAATCTCACTTATAAAGATTATTCTAAAAGAAAAATATTAATCATAAAACACATTAAAAATATTGAGTTGACTTTAAAGTATTTAGAGTAGCAATGTTAACAAAGAGAAGTGACTTTTTTTTTTTTTTTAAGAGAGAGAGAGTTTTTTGCTATAGGGTGCGTGTACTAAGAACGAGAGAGAGAGAGTTTTTTGCTATAGGGTGCGTGTACTTGCCAAAGACAGAGAGACAGTGAGAAATCATTCCCGGAGGGATGACCACACCACAATCCTTTCTCCATTCTCCTCTCAGGATTTGGAGCACACATACACACACACTTGTTATGAGTTTCATGCCTCTGGGTCTGGGACTTGAACTGTGGTTAGATACGTGGGAGTCCAGTGCCTTAACTACTCTGCCACCTACTGGCCATGGATATAGTGTTTTAGCTGCAGCTCATCACATGGGGTCAGATGTGGAATTCCCCACTTGCAATGTCCTGTTAGACCTCAAAAAGTTTTGGATTTTGAAACATTTCAGATTTGGGATTTTTGGATTAGGGATTTTCAACCTCCAGTTTCACTGATTGCAGTTAACCTTATGTTTGTTGTTGGGAGAAGTTCAGCTCATTGTGAAATGAAATAATATTTTGCTTTGGGAGAATAAATTTTTTAAAAATAAATACGTACAGGATACTTTCTTATAGTAACTCATGTAAATTTTTTCCAAGTTACTTCTCTCAGTTGTTGGAGGAGCATGGTCCCTTGGACATGAGTAACAAGATATTCTCTGAAGAATATGAGTTTTTCCCAGAAGAAACTCGACAGATACTAGAAAAAGCAGGAGGTTTAAAATCTTTTCTCCTGGGCTGTCCTCGTTTTGTTGTGATCGACAACTGTATTGCATTGAAGAAAGTTGCATTACGGCTCAAGAAAAAGAGAAAGAAGAAAAACATTAAAACAAAAGTAGAAGAAATTTCGAAAGCAGGAGAGTATTTACGATTTAAACTACCATTGAATCCAACTGTTAGGGAATTTAGACCTGACGATAAATCCAAACCAGTGTCTGATTTATCTCCAGCACCAGCTTCTGAGGCTGTGAAGCCCAAACCTACATCTGCTAATTGTCCCACACCAGCTTGTGACGACGTGAAGTCCAAACTAGCATCAGATACTACTTCTAGGCAAGTTTTTGAGGATGGAAAACCCAAAGGACTCGCATGTAATTCTCCTCAAGTCTCTGAGGGTGCCGATCATAAGCAAGTCTCTTCTGATTCGCCCACACCTGTTCTTCAGGATTTGAAACCAACCTACTGGACTCAATCCCATTTGGTTACAGGATACTGTACATATCTTCCTTTACAGAGATTTGACATCCCTCAGACACAGCCGACATACATAAATGTATTACCAGGTTTGCCCCAGTACACCCGCATATATACTGCTCTGGCCAACGTTTCTTCTCAATATCAGCTACAAGGATCAATCCCAGTGGTGCCGTCTTTTGCAGCCAATGACAGAGCAGATAAAAATGCTGCTGCATATCCGGAGGGACTGCCGTTGAATAGTGAGGGCGCCACTGGTAACCGTATTGCCTCTGAAACACATACACATGAGGACTCTTTGGGACCGTCTGCAAAGTTACAGTGCAGCACAGGTGATACTGTTGCAGCCCTGAGTGAGCCTAAAAGAAAAGATGAGCACTGTGGGAATTCTAACACCAAATGCAAAGAAAATCCAGAAAGTACTATTGCAGTGACAAAGATTCCACATACACAGATGGTGGCCACACAGGTAAGACTGGAATTTAAAAAAAGTCTTCTCAAGACTGAAGTTAAGTTTTTCTTTTCATTTTTCATTGCCAGTGTGTTTACTAAAATCCTTGAAAACAATTGATTTTTATAGTGGTTACTGAAGCATTTACCCCTAAATATTTTTGAAATATGAATCTTTTTGTGAGGAATGGTAGGTTATTTTGTTAAAAAGATATTTGGTTCCAGTAAATAATACCCTTCTTCTGTACCCAAATTCTGCACCAATGTAAGATAAAGGAATCAGAAGACAGAGCCAAATCATCATCTCATTGAAAAATTAAAATGCCATAGAAGAATGTTTCTGTGAAAAAACATGTGTGCTAACAATGAGGCCCGTGTCACACTGGCTTTCCCACCAGTGAGAACGGGGTTGGACCAGAAGGCCTCCCTGCTTGGGTTGCCTGTCTAGCAGGACTTTCTGCTTGGAAGAGGAAGGGAAAATGTGCTGGAAGCTTCCCAAACAGAAAAATGGGAAGAATGCCTAGCTTTCAGGGAGTTAAGTGAAACAAACAGATGGAGGAAGGCAAGAGGGATATGAACAAGAGTGTCTTCTCTGCAAGTATGAGGGTATAGAGAGGTTCCTCCATAGTTGACTTGATAAGGTATAAATTCATTAATTCTTACTAGGTTATAGCCTGCTCCTCATTAAGGTTTATGTTTTCTAGGAAACTTTGAAAAAATATGTTGAGAGAAATAAACCCACATCATTTCAGTTATACTAATTTTCAGTAACTCTTTCCTAATATAAGTTTATAGAAAATATAGAATGTAATCTAAATAGGAAAAAAACGTGCTTTAAAATGTTATTATTTTGGGTTGTCAGAAAAGTCAATACGTATTTTTCTATGTTTTTCTATGTAAAATGCATCATGACTTTTCAGACAACCCAGTATGTTGGATTTATCTTACTAGAGCAACTGAAATAAATTGAACTGAAATTTTTTTTTTTTTTGCTCTTTAGGTGTCTTGGAATGTAACCCACCAAGAAACCAATACTGAACCATATGATCCTTTTGAGGCACAACAAGTGAGTCAAAATTGTATTAAACAGTTTATAGGTTAAATTTTATTAATGTATCAAGATGAGAATGATGAATTAGAACTCTTTTGGACTCAAATATTCCATTCAAATTTATCACTGCATAAGCTTTAGAATATAGAAACATTATTGTTTTGTTTTTATTGTTGAGTGGAGGGGAAGCAAAGGACAAAGTAATTTTACTCTTTTATTTCAAAGTATAATGGCTTATGGCCAGCAGGTGGCATGGTAGTTAGGGCATTGGACTCCCACATGGCCAACCACAGCTTGAGTCTCAGATCTGGAGGCTTGCTTTCTCACTTTCCCCTCTATCTAGTGAATTTAAAAATAATCATAATTATAAATAAAATTATTTTTTAAAAAAAACTAAGTATAATGGCTTTATTGTTTTTACTAGTATAATGAGTATATATTAATTTATAAATAAGCTTTTTCACATGAGTAATACAGAAATGAATTATAAAGACCTTTACAACTTTATAATGAATTCATTAGAAAATTTTTATTTGTATAAGCAAGGAATTGAATATAATTTAAACATCTATCAGTAATTATGATATATCCACATAATGAATGAGATATTATGCTATCATTAAAAAATGAAGCAGTTTTATAATTACTGATGGGAAATGAGTTACAAGAACAAATGTATGGTTAAGTAGAAAGAAGTAAGGTTAGAACTTGGTGTTGTCTGCTGCTGTATGTACAAATAGCTTTATAGGTTTAGGGAATTCTAAAATAATATAGTCCTTAAATTTTCTTTAATGAAAAATACTTAAAATTATGAGAGAGAAATTGAAAATCATCTACATTCTTGTTACCTATGTTAGTATTTTTATGTGTAGCTTTCCATGCTTTATTTGAACACTTACATATAATTAAGCATTACTTTTTAAGATGAAATCATATCATGTATGTTGTATTTGAAACTGGCAATCTTCGGTTACTCTATTGTGGACTTTTTCCATGTTAGTAAATATTACTTAAAGCATTATTTTTAGTGGATACTTGGTATTCCACTGTATGAATCTATATTTATTTATTTGACTGATTATTTTTGTTGTTGAACATTTAAATCGCATCAGCCTTTCACACTTTTGCCCCTATATGTATATACCAAGTAGAGTGACTCTTGTTTTTTGTTTTTGCCATAGGACACATTTGCTCGTTGAAGAGAGACAGAGGCTCAGTGAGAGAAAAAGTACAAAATCACCCTCTTCTCCATGGGGGATGGCCATGCCACAGTCCCTTCTCCATTCTCCTCTTAAGATTTTGGATATACACGCACATGCACTTGACGTGGTTTTCAAGTCCCTGGGTCCACCAGGACTTGAACCACAGTCAGCCATACAGGAGTCCAGCAAGGTAATCAGTACTCCACTTGTCGGCCCCATGTGACTCTTGTTGAGATCAGTGCCATACTAAGCTTTCAACCAGGTAGGCACTGTTATTTAATGAGGCAGTGACTTTGACCCTCAGATAAATATTTTTGTTAGTGTTGGGAACTTCACAACGAAGCCACTGAAGCTGGTTCTCAAACCCTGGTCAGCCATGTGGCATCTGGTTTTCTCTGTATAGTGCTTAATCTCTGTGCTAAGGAGCCAGCCCTGTTTAGTTTTTTTTCTTTTTCTTTTTTTAATTAATTATTTTTTTCTGTGAGAGAGAGACATGTGTACACACAGAGACAATACCCCCAACAGGGTCCTTACACCATGATCCACAGCCAGCCTGGCCAGCCAGGATCAAGGGTATAAGCTTGTGCCTAGTGTGTACAAGGAGGCCTTGAGATGCAAACCCAGGACACTCACATATGGCTTGATCATCATAGAGTGTTGTGTTACCACAGCATCTTCATGGCTAGCCTTTCTTGTCTGTTGAAGATGAAAATAAAATATTTCTCACAGATATGTGGTAAAGTTTAAATTAACAACAGAGGGGGTATTTAACTTCCTACCTGTCTTTGTTGGTGATTTGGGGCATATAAACTAATTTATAATACCAAGTTATTATTCATTATGATGTTTTTGCTGAACTGAGAAGGAAAATACAGGTGACTGAAATCTTAAACCATACAGTCATGCTCATAAGAGTGACCACTTCCTTTATTATTTGAACATAATCTTTGTGCATAACACTAAACTTTCAGTCTGGATAGACACAAAGTGGAACTTTCTAAGGCACTGTGTCAGGTATAGTCACCTTGGCTGTAGTTCACATTCCCTAATGATAATTCACATAATTTCAAATACTTGATTCCCTGCCTTTATACACTTGGAAGACATTAAGGTTGTGGGGTAAGGTGATGAGAGGTTGGACCAGACTTATACCACCGGGGCAGGTTTCTGAAGTCTGGCTGCCATCGGAGAGGCAGTCACCTGCCCCTGGGAGAAGTTGTAGTCAGTATCAGACAGATACTTTCTTCAGACACAGCATGACTGCTGACAACTCTAGCAGTATGACGGGTTTTTAAAAATATTTACATACAGGACCAGCAGGTGGCACCGTGGTTAAGGTGCTAGACTCCCACATGGCCAACCATGGTTCAGGTTGCAGACCTGGCAGCCTGTTTTTTCTCCCTTTCCCTTTCTCTCTGGTCAAATTTTAAAAATTAATAACAAATAAAGTTAAATAAATAAATAATTCTAAATTTTTAAAAAATATTTACATAAATGATGTTTATTGTTCACCAACATTTCACAATACAGTATGGTTTCCATGTCATTTTTTAAAAGGAGGTTCAAGAGACTGATAACTGAAAACAGTTCACTGATAATTTGTAACTTGTCTTTTTGAAATAACCAGCAACTACCCAGTGGAAACACCTAGATAACAGTAGGACCAAAATTACTGTGTTCTGCTCATATTGATAATACATAAAGTCTTCATAGCTTTGTAACCCTGATAAGTAATTCCTGATGTTAATTGTGGAGGGTGACATTCAGATAGAACTACTGATCTAATATTGACCCTTTCTAAAACAGAGAAGTACTCAGAATAACTATAGTACAGATTGAGGTTTTGTTATGAATTCCAGTGATATAATATACTTATAAAAGAACTGGCTTTATCCAAACAGTGTTTAGGGTTTTTTAATTCTAGGATTATTGTGACAGTTCCCTTGTAAATTTTCATCCTCCTTTTAGTCTTCTTTGTTTATTTTAAGAGAGAGGTCAGGGGCTGGCAGGTGGCATGGTGGTTAAGGGTGCTGGACTTCTTTCCAGACCTGGTGGCCTGTTTTCTCTCTCTCTTTCTTTCTCTCTCATTGTATCCTCTCTGGTCAAATTAAAATAAATAAATAAAGTTAAAAAGAAGAGTTCATTACAAGAACAAGATCATAAACAGGTGTTATTAATGAATTGGTTTATTTGTTTGTTTGTTTTGCAATAGGGCTTGCCAGAGAAACAGAGAGAGAGAGACAGAAAGCAAAAAATCCCCCTCAGGAGCGAGGCGGGGGGACAGCCACACCACAGTCCCTTCCCTTCCAGTCTTCCTTCGGGATTTGGGGCATGCATGTACATGCACCTAGTGTGAGTATCAAGCCTCCGGGTCTAGAACGCAAACCATGGTCAGCCATGTGTGAGTCTAGCGATGTAACCATTATGCCATCTGCTGGTCCCACAAATGATTTTTAATAAATCATTATCTAATTCACTTTCAGGGGGATATTTCACAAATTGAAAAGGAGTACCAGGTATTACAGGAGCAACTTACAGAAGCATGTGAACAGTATGAACAGATAAAACTCAAGGGCTCAGAAGAGACCAAGGACCTGGAAGAAAAGTTGAAAAGGACCATAGAAGAAAACAAGAAAACCCTGTCTGAAACCTCTCTTTTTTTTTTTTTTTTTTTTTTGTTCTCAGCAAATAATTTTCCACTTCTTATGTCCTGCATACCTTGCCTTTTGTTTTGCCATCCTTGATTCCCCATCCCCCACCCTCTGCCATGTCCCATCTCCTCCCACATTGTCCCTGGCATCCACGGTTGCCCTCCATGCCTTCCCCCCACCATTCAATTGTTCTGCCAATAAACTTAATTAGTCTAAATATATCCAATAGCTAGCACAGCTGACACATACCTATACATGGACCCAAGTCTGACTTTAGGCATAAACCTCAGTGAGTAGAATGAACATACTATAAAGTAGTACCCAGCTGTGTCCATACAGCTCGCTGCAGTCGTCAAATATACATTTTTTTTTTTTTTTTAC